GGATTAAAAAAAAAAGAAAAAGAAAAACGCAATTTGCACTTTCAGTTAATAAGTAAGATCACTGAAGACGGAATTTTCAGACTGTTTAGTTTATTATTGTAAAAACCACTCTCTGTAAAATTCAATTTCAACATACTCAAATACCAGTACATTGAGCAGACTACAGATAGATTTACCTACATTTTATAAAATTAGTTGTTTGTATGAATTATTACACTATATCATATATACTTTAAAAAATWTATTTTCCAGTATTCAGTGCCAGGACGATTTCCCGCTAGTCGTCGCAGGATAATCGAAATCCATTCGTGTTCTACAAAAAATTATCAGTAAATCATCGATGATGCATCGTGACGGGTTCGGACCCACTTCGTACAAAATCCTATAAACGCATACATGTCCGAAGATAGTCTCACTATCTYGCGGTYTTCGGTCGATTTTCCTAAAATGTGAAGGCAAAGTTGTAATTTGGTGGGTCAGCGGGTATGGGAGGAGGGCTTTCTGGTATTGGGATATTCTCCAGGTCGAGTAGACGYAGCTTGATTTCCATATCCTGCAGTGTCTCTAGATCTTCTTTCGAAGTCGCTGATGGCATCTTATGTAAAAAAAGAAAGAAGGAAATCAAACAATAAGTTGGTAACTTCGCTAATGTTGAAAGAACAAAGGAAAATGAATAAAAAAATATTTTTTAGGGATGGAGTGAACCATCGTAACAAGCTAAAAGAATGGCAGCTTTTTCTGCGAGGAAGGGAGGGTGGTCACCCCCTTGCCCTTTCCCTCCCCGTTACGCCAACGATTACGTATGTATTGATTGCATCTTCACAGACTTTATTAAGAAGGAAAACTCACTTCTTTATTCAAAAGCACCGAAAGACCATCGACCCAAGTATCAAACTGAAAGAGAAGTGTTGAAATATCTCTAAATAAAACAATGATAAAAAATAACCAGTAATGTATAATATGGCCAATATAATATAACCAATAATATATAATTTCAGTAAAGCAAAAATTGTACTCACAATTTGTTGATTTGTTACAGTGAAATTGAGATGGTCATCTGATGTGTCACGTTCGTATACGAGCGAGAAATAGAAAAGCTGAAATAAAAAGTTGAATAGAAATAAAATTAAATTAAATTGAACAAGTGGCGTATCCAGGATTCATCATTTTGGGGTGTCAGGGCGTTAAGGAGCGGCTTTTACATACAAAACTCCGGTCTCAGACAAGAAGCCATCGGCCCTTAGGTTGACCAGTAACAATGCTCCAAGACAAGTCGAGGTTTTCAAAATATCTTACCTTCAAGGCCTTTTTTTCTTTCGCATGAGGACAGTCTTTACCAATGAGCAATTGCTTGATTCCTGATATTGGCACTAAAACAACAGCATGATATCAAGTCAGTCATATATGCAATGGTTCGTGTGACATTGTAATCACATCACAAAATTCAGGACCTTCCAAGTACTTTTTAACACAAAATTTTGATTTTGAACGACCATTTTTTTAAAATCTTGTCTAATGTTTTTGAATGTTTGTAGAGACAATTTTTCATTAATCTTATCTTTTTAAGCTACAAATTGAAAATCAAAATGTAGATTGCATCAGATGTAAGGAATAACCCAGGACTTTTAGTGGTTTTTCCTATTTTCAAAGGATTTTTAAGTGCATATAAACGAGTTTTTAATTCCAGGACTTATTCAGAACACAGGAGTAGCACGAGCACATTATCATTTATTGCCATCCTTTCTTGTTGCAAGGGAGTTTTCTGAGAAAATTGCCTGGTTAAAAAAGGCAACGACTTCCCCGACGCCGTCACAGCGAAGCATCGTCCTAATTAGTCTCCCTCGCATGCAGCCGTTATCTGTGTCGCATTGTTCGACTGTATATTTGTGCCAAACAACAATGACTAGATAATTGACAAGAGAGTCAATTCCACTTACATTTGTTTGGCAAAGCTTCTAATGATGGAGCACCTTGTCCTTCGCCTTCACCATAGTGCAGGAACTTAAGGTTTGGTGATAGTCTGCAGTACCAGTTATTATCTACGGTATGAACGACACACGTTATTTGTTGCTTTTGTTATTCTTATTTGTATAATGTTGAGAATAGTTGTTGTTGATGTTGGTGTTGTTGCTGCTGCTGATGTAGTTGCTGCTGCTGCTGCTGTTGTTGCGCTGTTGTTAATGTTGTTGCACTTACATTTGTTTGGCAAAGCTTCTAATGATGGAGCACCTTGTCCTTCGCCTTCACCATAGTGCAGGAACTTAAGGTTTGGTGATAGTCTGCAGTACCAGTTATTATCTACGGTATGAACGACACACGTTATTTGTTGCTTTTGTTATTCTTATTTGTATAATGTTGAGAATAGTTGTTGTTGATGTTGGTGTTGTTGCTGCTGCTGATGTAGTTGCTGCTGCTGCTGCTGTTGTTGCGCTGTTGTTAATGTTGTTGTTGTTGCTGTTGTTAATGTTGTTGTTGCTGTTGTTGTTGATGTTGTTGCTGCTGCTGTCGTTGTTGATGCTGTTGTTGCGCTGTTGTTAATGTTGCTGTAGTTGATGCTGTTGTTGTTGTTGCTGCTGTTGTTGCTGTAGTTGTTGCTGCTGATGTAGTTGCTGCTGCTGTTGTTATAGATGCTGTTGTTGCGCTGTCGTTAATGTTGCTTTAGTTGTTGCTTTAGCTGTTGTTGTTGTTGTTGCTGTTGTAGTTGTTTGTTTTGTTTCATTGTGTTGCGTTTTGCAATGTCACCATGCTCTGGACTGTTCGGCAGCAATCTCCCTACAATCTTACAGCGGCGTATATAATCACAAATGGCATCATACCTTTTTTCTTATACTTTTCAAACCATCTTCCTTCAATGAGTTGATCGAGTCTCTGAAAAGACACAAGTATAAAGAACATGAAACCAAAGACAATCCATCAAAACAAGGTCATCAAGATTGCAGAGCAACATTTCAATGAACTGCAAAACTGTACAATCATTTTTACCTGCCGACCTACTATATTCTTTAGGTGAGGGAGGATCTGCTGTTTGAGGTCTCTGAAAGATAATAAAGAATTAATACTTAAGATGGCTTCATGGGAACCATGTTCCATTCTTTACTCCATTATAAACCTTCACTACAGATGTATGATCAGGGCCGTGTGCAGGGTTTGCGTGCAGGGGGGGGGGGGGGGGGGGGGGGGGGGGGGGGGGGGGTTAGAGTAGAGTTAGGGTTAGGGTTTTTTCGTTTTTTTTTTCTTATAAACTATTGTACCATCCGAAAACGTGTTAAGGTATTGATTTCGTAAATAAAGTTTCATATTTGAACGACTTTGTCTGCCAAGAAAAAGGGTTCCAGAACGACTGGAACCCCCTAAACGACTCCCCTGATCATGTAGCTTTTGGTATGCAAGWTGCCTTTAGCAGAGGTAATACGCTTTTATTGCACTTACAAAACAGGTTTACTYTGCAGCAGCTGTATATTTCTGGTCCTGTCTTCTTCATTTATGTATTTATTGATCTTATTGTAGTCGAGGTTGAAGATAAAATTCTAGGAACATAATTGATAAAATGTTAAACACCTGTACGACAGGGTCAGTTGTACGATAGGTGAATAGCGCTATCCATCGGGTAAATCCTTATTGAGAGGATAAAATCCCATACAAAATCTAAGGAGCAGAKAACTATATCCAACCTTTGTACAACCGGTCYCAGTTGGGTATCAGTAGTCAGTTGTTTCTTACCCTGAATGCTTCCATAGTATGTTGYTTTTCAGCTAGTGATCGCTCTATCTGGATTTTAACTGTGGCTATCACCTGAAAGTAATAAAGAGGACATTTTTCAACATTGTTTTCTTTAATGGCAACAAGATCAACTCCTTCATGGAAAGAGCAAAATAKAAAATCGGAAAAAATTAATAGGCCTCTTGCATGAAACGGAGGGCAAAAAAACAACTTCCCAAACAAAAKGAACGTAGACCGTCTAACTTGACTTTTCTTTGTTTTGAACATCCCAGTGGGAATTCTGCCTTCTAGAATGCCAGATTTAGTACCATGTAACCATTTCATGCAAAAGGCCTATTACAGGGTTTATATTAGCCTCCTCTCTCAAGCTTATTCCGTGTTTTATACCTTTGGGCTACCTGTTTTCTGATAAGGCTACAAGGGATTACGGGATTACCTCAGGGAGAAAAAAAAAAGAAAACACCTTCATTTTTTGGTGGAGCCYCAGCCAAGRGGATACCAGAGGGATCCCAAGYATGTCAAAAAGAAGGRTTGGCTGCTGAGGAGGCTAGGATAATATAATATAGTACTTGACCATGMAACTAACCTTGGTGAAGTCACTTGCAAAAGCCTTCCTTTCTTTCCATGTTTTGTTCACTAATTGTATGCAGATGCAGAAGAATTCTTCAAAACCATAATCAGTCGTGAAGAATATGGGATAATAATCACCTGCCTCGGCATCTAAAAACATTTAACAATTTGTTAAAAAATGAAATAACTTGATGTGTTGTGCAATATCAAGTTGAAATTAGGCCATACGCTACTGCTGTGATGAGTTTACTTACTCCTTATACTCGCATATATGTAAATTTCCTTCACTCTCCTGATGATGTCGGCGACCAACGAAAGCTTGAGAAAGTAAACTCATCACAGCAGTAGCTTATGGCCTAATTTCAACTTGATATTGCACAACACGATGCTACTGAAGGACAACTTCATTACTTTGAAACTTGATGTGTATTTGAATAAATAGATATCAGAGCTAAATTTATACAGTATGACTGAAGTATCATCATCATCATCATCATCATCTAACACTTACATGATTCATCTGACACTTTAAGTAGCTCACACAGGAGTTTGGTTAGTGCGATACTTGATCGTGCAAAAGGACACCCATGGTCATCACCACGGGCAAAGTTTTGACAAACAACCTACATTAAAGTATACAATATATTAAAATATATAAATACCATAATGTGAAACAACATTGCAGTTGTCTACGTCAATCAGTCAATTTGCCATCTAATCACACAGTTACTTTATCAATAATTGCCATTTATAAGTAAATAAGTTAAACATAAACACTTTTCTGTCTAAGACAAACTGTTTAGCAATAAGTTCACCAGTAAACCCCACACTTTGCCGTCATAGTAAGTCAGTTAGGTAGACACTTTAACGACTAAGTTAATCAGTAAACCAGACAATGTTTCCGTCTAAGTCAAAGAGTACTGTAAACTTTGAAGCCCAAGTCAATCAGCCAGTCATATATTATTTATATTCAAAGTGTAATAAGATACAGGAGTTTGTACCTTGATGAATTGATCTGGGTGTCTGTGTGCAAAATAAGCCATACAGTGCGCTGGTAGAAGTCCAGGTGGAGTTTCATTGAAATCTTGTGCAGGATTTTCATAATTCTAACATAAAGTTTAACAATTGAATTAATAAAATACTAACATTCACAGAGTACAAAGTGCTAATAAAGAACAGAAAAAAAAACACTCACCGTAAAACCAAGTGTCTTGAAGTCCCAGCCACTGTTTGCCATTTGTGACACTGGGCGTCCTGTGCCACTTTCAGAATCAAACACTGTTTTTCTAAGTACATCAAGAGTTTCTAATAGACTCTGAAACAATATCACAAAGAGACTGAGCATTAAAATACATTTAACAATCATAATGGAAAGGCTAAGAAAATAAATGAACATGCATGTAATTTGTGGACATCAAAGAATCAAAGAATAGAAGCAACATTTTTTTTATAAAAAGGAATACTATTTTGTTCTGGCATTTTTTTTATAAAAAGGAATACTATTTTGTTCTGGCTTGGTAAATTATTACTCTTTTCATAAATTCTATGGAAATGTTAAACATGAACTTCATATATACAATGACAGAAGTGACATTATTTGAGGTA